TTTGGAAAAGAATTAATATCGGATCTTGTTGATAAGGATTTCGATGGGTAGACGATTGGCTCCGTAGAGCCATAGAAACGACACGTTAGAGCGCGTTCGTCATCTTGTGAGTGGCAAATTGCCCTGGAAATAAAAAAAAGACAAAACTGTTTGTGTTGATCTAATTTTAGTTATATTGTTTACAGTATTGGATGTTAACTTTTAGCATGAGTAATTCTGAAAAGATTTGCTTACGAAATGTACCAAATCAATTAAGTTAATTCAGTTTCAGATATAATGTTTAAATTGCATTTTGTCATTCGTTTGGTCAATGTACAAGTATTTGTGGATTGAAACAGTTTAATTTTGTTTTTCACGTACTAATAATATAATTTTCTATAATGTTCCCTTTTGGGCGTACTTTAGCTTTAGGTTATAATTTATTCATCTACTTTGTTGGGACAAAGTATATGAAACAGAACAGCTACGTAATGATATGTTACGATCAGCGTCATATCGCTGACGAACTTACATAACTGTTTCACTTCTATGTCATAAAAAAATGCCACTCACAAGATGGCGGAGAAGCCGACGTACGATCCCGACACTTTTGCGTTTACACCGGAACTTAAAAGGAAAGACGCTGTTAGCACACCACCGAGATAGATTCTTTGTGAACCACAGGAACCGGAAAGGCTGATCACGACACAAGAGCAGAACTTTAGTAGGGGTTTGAAGCTGTGTTTTTTTGTTTGTTTATTTGCTTCTGAGAAAAGATGTACATTTAGTCGCGTTAGAATCGGATTGGTACATTTATTTTCTCTAAAAAATGACCAAAGAGAAACGACACCGAAGAAGGGAGTCTCCGACGAGGGAGACCGAAGTAAAGATAAAACAGGAGAAACTGAGCCCCAGTAGGCCACAGAGATCACGGCGTTCCAGGTCCAGATCCGCCGGGACATCAACTCCACCGAGAAGAAGAGCGAGCAGGTGAATGTAATAAAGTTGTCATATCTGGTTGTGTACGGTAGATCGGAGGTGCGATGGTCCCTTGTCTTATATAAACTATATTTTAACTTGGAGATCGGCCTGGATCTACCAGGACATGGATGTTGATGTTGCTCAAGCAGGGTTTCATTCATGAAACTATGGATCAATAGTTAATGATCAATAATTCACAAAACCTGCTGCTTTGGTCACAGATCAATAACACCGAACATATCTTTGCGCTTTTTTGTAATTGTATACAGAATTGTAGGAAACGACGAGTAGTTCTGTTCGTTACCTGTTGCTACAGTGTGTGCTGCAGTTTGTTGAACCCGGTGTCAGCACCAATTACTCTCAGATACTTCAGTTCTTCTGGCTCTGAAACTAAGATATTAAAATCAGATGACTAAAATTACTGTTCTGATGCTCAAGCTCACAAAAGTTTATCTCCCCTTCTTAATATTGTACAGAATGATACTTGAGATATCCGTGGCCATGAGTCATAGGTTCATGATTGAACAAATTGTGATTTCTGAGTGAATTATGTGTCACATGTTTGATAAAAAGACATTAAATTGTTTAAAATCTCTGTAGTATTGCTCAAGTGTCTGTTCTACATTTCATACAGATCGCCGGCCAAGGCAAGGCAGCGCTCACCAGATAGAAGAGAAACCTCTCCTGTTGGAACAAGCAACAGATCTCCCAGAAACAGAAGAAGTCGCAGTCCTCATCGTGGCAGCGATGCCAAAGTGAAGCGGGTAATTCGGTTTGAATCATCAGATCAACACTAAATCGGGGGTAGAGCTAGGCTTGAAAACTTATAAACCAGTTGGTCTCTAATAATCAAACCTCATGATTACTATGATGGGTTGTACACATAAGTGTTCACATCCTTTGACCTCTTCCATATTTTGCCACAGAACAAATACAAACTTCAACGCATTCCACTGGAATGCAAAAGTGATGCATTAATGAAGAGAGAAAAAAAGGATTTAAGGTATTTAAATGTTTTGCAAGTAAAAAGCTGAAAGACGTGGCACATATAAGTATTCACCCCCATTTAAAATGAAACCTTCCAATAAAATTCATTCTAATCAGTGCAATTTGTGGGATTAGTAAATGGAGTCCACCTCTGTAACATGTCAATATGAACCAGCTGTTCTATGAGGGTCTCTGATGCTTTTTAAAAACGTTAATAACCTTTTGAATTTTGTTGTTGCAATGAGACATAATATGAAAATGTGTTTGACATATGAATACCTTCACAAGGCATTGCCACAACATATATGAATGGTAAATGCAAATGACAAGCACATTAAAATATGGAAAATGCCTTTTCTTTCCATTGCCTGAATGTCAGCTGTAGTTATTGAGTCACAAATTGAGTAAAGGTGTCACAAGTTGTTTAAATAATTACTGTTGCAAAACTGTCTTTCTACTATAACTCATGTAATTTTATCACATTAGTTATATCTATGTAATGAAATTACATGACATGTGTGTATTTTAATGAAAAAATGGTAAACTGTGTTATGTCCCATAACACATTATGACCACATTTCAGTTCTTAAATATGGTGATGATAATATATCGCAACACAATCATATTTGCTTCGTAAATGCTTTCTTTTAAAATCCCACAGGAAAAGGAAGAACAAAGGGGGAGTGGCGATGAGCGGAGAAGAAGGAATGAGCAATCAGAGGACAGACGGAGCAGGTGGGAATCAGACAGGCCGCGGGACAGAGAACGCAACAGAGACAGGAATCGCGAACGAACCGCTCTGGCTTCTCAGCAAGAGGAACGTCGGCAGCATGATGACCGACGCAGGGAAAACCGTCAACGGCGTGAAGAAGAAGGCGAGGAGCAAAATTTCGGACCCTCTGACGGAGGGAGTGACGACTCAAGGCCGCCTCCGGCTGAGAAAGAGAAACCCAACTTTGAACTGTCAGGCGCGCTCACGGAAGACACCAACACATTCCGGGGCGTGGTGATCAAGTACAACGAGCCGCCCGAGGCTCGCATCCCAAAGCGCAGATGGAGATTGTACCCCTTTAAGAATGATGACCCCCTTCCTGTCATGTACATCCACAGACAGAGTGCCTATCTATTGGGGCGCCAGAGAAGAATCGCTGATATCCCCATTGACCACCCATCCTGCTCCAAGCAACATGCGGTATTCCAGTACAGGTGGGAAACGCAACTGTTATTTCTTGTTTTCTTAAGATTTTTTTGTCATATTTTTTCTTCCTCTGCTGTGGTCTGTTTAACGTTAATGATGAATGTAAATGTTACTCTGTTCTATGTTTTGCAGATTGGTAGAGTATACTCGAGCCGACGGCACCACTGGCCGCAGGGTCAGGCCTTACATTATTGACCTTGGTTCTGGGAACGGCACCTACCTGAACAATCAGCGGATCGAGTCCCAGCGTTACTATGAGCTCAAAGAAAAAGATGTTCTCAAGTTTGGCTTCAGCAGCCGCGAGTATGTGTTGCTGCACGAGTTCTCAGACACGAGCGAGGTGGATGTGAAGCAGGAAGAGGAAGAGGACGAGGGACTTGATGAGTAAATTATTCCCACATACTCGATTGTCCGCATCTATTCAGGCAAGATCACTAAAATTGTTAAAAAACGCAGAGCTGTCTGCTGAAAACGGACTTGCGACCTGGTAAAATCAGAAATTAATGTCCCAAAAGTGAGTGGAATTGTTGTATATTTGCTGTAAGTATTGAAGTCTTGCTTGGATCTGCCACAGTTGTCTCAAAGTAGACCTCCTTTTCTCAGGTTTGTGTGATGCATGATTGATCTTTCTGATCTCATGTAATGTGTCAGGGTACATAACATTACTGCGGTGTGATCCCTGGACCCTTAAATAAAGATTTCTTATTGACAGAATAAACATTGAACTACAGATTAGATTTATTTTTCTTTTGACATTTTTGTAGAGCAAGCACAAGGAAAATATTTGACTTGTGCATTTTTGCACTGCTGCAATGTGTATTCAAAGACTTGCCATTTCTTTTTTTTCAGTTCAGATGCATTTATAGTAAGTGTTAATTTTTGTACTGTAAATAAAAGCCAAAAATTTAGATTAAATAATTGTTTTGTGGTGATTATTTCATGTATTCCCTACATTTCTGTCATACATTAAACAAGTATAATTGTACATATTCTGAGCTTTCATTTCCTTTTAGCAATTAAGGAAAAGCCAATTGATGATGTCATGGATTTGTATGCTTCTGATCAAATTACATCAACTGAGTAAAATTGAGTAATACTGGAACACAGATGGCATCATGAGAAAAGAACATTATGATAAAATATTGAAGCAACATCCAAGATATTTCCCAGGAAATTAGAGCTTAGGAAAACATGGGCCTTCTGAAAGGATATGCGACCGAATTAGTGCATAAGTGACTCTTACCCTTACTGCTTAAGGGTAACAGAGTAAATGTTTTAAAATGCCCTTTAGTTTGAAAACTCGTATGGATTCGCTCCTTATGCCTAACATATTCATAAATTAAGAATCCATTATGCCTAACATATTCATAAATTAAGAAAGCTGTCAACACAAATTTGTGGGTATTTTTATCAGTTCCGACCAATGCTTTTGAAATAATGCAACAACATAAGTTGTAGACTGACTAGATAAAAAATATCTTCTGCCAAATCAAAAAATATAAATAAATCACATTTTTACTGATTAACAACAAAAATAATAGACTTAAAGGACATCATTGTATTTCTGTCCAATTTTGAACATATTTTAATGCCCACTAATATAATGTGGAAATATCACTTGTTCATGATGTGCCACAGAAGTTTGTAATTGTTGTTCACATCACGGTAGTTTCGTCGCATAGACACTAGGCGTCGCAAAAGGGGCCACAAATTCTTCAAACCTTCGTACTTTGCTCGCTCTTTCCACGTGTGGCCCCGGGATTGTTTGTGCCTATGTAGTTTTCTTAACTTCAGCGTACGACAGTTTTGACTAGTAAGTCCACGCAAGTCTTTGCTCATGAGTGGCGGGTTCAGTTTCGGTCTCAGGAGGAGGGGAGGAGGCCGGGCCAGAAGGGCGGATCCTGTGGTGGGAAGCACCAGGAGTGCTTGACGGGATGTGGGACGAGCGAAGGCGGCTGCGGCACACCTGGGAATTTACAGGAACAAGCAACGGTGTCTTCACTTTTCCTCCACAAAACTCCCAAAACCAGAGCATGCACTGACTTTCAGGCACATTCGACTGGAAAATGTACACGACGGAGCGCAGGCGGATGAGCCTGCGTGACGGGAGGAGGAAGGATCCCGTGTGGGTGTCCGCTGGAAGTTTGTGGCAGGACTCTTCGGTGCTGGAGATGACAGCCAGCAGCGGCGGGTCGGGCAAGCAGCTCGTATCCCCGCGGAGTCGCAGCAGAGCGGTGTCCGTGGCTTATATCGTCAGCGAGGACGCGTCTGGGCCGCAGACAGAGGAGAACTTGTCGCTGAAGTGTTTGAAGGAAGCCTGCGCAGACGCGCACGCCTCTTTCAGAACAATTTCATTTGGTAAAATTTCAGTGGGAACCACAGATATCCTGGATAGTTTCTACAATGCAGGCAAGTGCAGGCACGCAGTCTGAGGGGAATATTATCAGTTAAACTCACCCTGCCTGTTGATCTCTCTGCAGATGTTGCAGTCGTGGAGATGAGCGACTCTTTCTGCCAGCCTTCTCTTTTCTACCACCTGGGAGTGAGAGAGAGCTTCAGCATGACCAATAACATTATCCTGTATGGTTACAAGCAGGACAGTGATCTGCAGGCTCTGAAGGTAACACGTGCATGTATGTAATGGTTTGAGATCCGGATAAAACTTTAACTAGAGCATGCAGCCGTGCTGCATTACAAAACTGCTGGCTGGCTGTCAGACAAGACACGTCAAGGAAACATTGTAGAGTTCATGACGATTGGATCTTAATGAATGTAAGCGCAGGACAGTACATGCAGTGTGCTTTGCGAAAACCCTAATGATTATTTACTGGGCCATGATTTGTGGAGGGTCCAAAATCCAATTATGCCCATTATGTATTATGAAACAACTGAACAATTTTTTTTCTAGAACATGTCTGATAGGTGTGTGTGCCACAAGTGCTCCTCACAGTGCTTACTGATGCCTGTTCTGTTTGTTTAGGAACAGTGTGGGAGTTACACCTTCATCCCGTACGTGGTGTCACCTCAGGGCAAAGTGTTCGCCTGTGATGCCGCCATGATGACCTGCATCAAGGAGCTGATGCAGCCCAGTTTGCAGCTGGAGCCCCTTCTCACCCCGCTGGTGGAGAGGCTCGTGCACCTTTTGAACAACGTGCACATTCAGTCCAGGTCATTTAAACGCCACAGTTCTCCAATTCCTTGTTTCATCATGTTCTGGCATGCACTGTCAACCCAAATCATTAATCATTACTAAAGCCACGTATGGTTGAGTGACTGCACTTGGATGTCTTGGTTTGGCTAAATTAAAAACCAAACAAATCAATCTCTGTTTACATAAGGTATTACGTCCAAGATAATGAATTACTAAAGAACTAAAGGTTTCAAAACTGTTTATGAGTAATTAGCTCAACCATTAACCATATACGTCAGTGATTATCAGTGTTTTTTACATATGTTTATCAGTAATTCTTACTTGTGTTTATCAGTAATCATTATTCTGTATGACAACTGAATTTGCACCTTACCATATGTCGCTAAACTGTCACATCAATATACTGACCTGATTTCCCCACTTCATCACATTAAAGTGATCAGCAGGGAACCCATGCAACCAACTGTCAGATGAAACATGAATTAGGCTCGTTGATCCTCTTCTTCTTTGTGTTGGCAAATGATTCAAATGTGCATTACTGATAAATCCCTCCCAAAATTAGTAAAAACATGCAAGTGAGAGAAGTCTCAGCTAAGTGCAAATACTACAGAAAATACTTGTTTTGCATAGTTTACAGTTCACATTTTGTTTAGTAATGATCCCGCCTTTTTTGCAAAGTAATAAAAAGATTAGTAATTAGTAAGTATATGTAGAATACAATTTGGGTGTACAGTGCATGAACTCCCTGTAAAAAACAATTTTCCAAACTTTAAATTCCACCTGTTTTTGTTTATTGAAGGTCGTGAAACAGTGGAATGGTACCTGCTTTCCTTTGTGTCTTTGCCAACAGTGAGTACTTCAGGGAGTCACTGAGGCAAGAGATCCGCTTGGCACGGGAGCGATTCAGTGGAACAGCTCTCAGCGAGGAGCTGAATCGCATCCAGAGTCGCCTGGATAGTGTAGATCTGCTCACGCCGGATATAGTCATGAACTTCTTGTTGTCCTACAGAGATGTCCAGGTGATCACTTTGTGCTTTGTCTAGTTTTAGTATCTGAACAAATTAAAATGGTTTTATTTTGTTCAACCATTTTATTTGATAAAACCATTTTGTAATAATAACAGAGGAAGGTCACCATGTCTTGTGGAAAGACATGGTGACCTAAATATTGAGATTTAACTGATCATAAAACCATTTTTCTTAAATTAGAAAAGAAAGGCTTGTTATGAAACAGTTTACAGGTTCTTAGCACGTAGTGCCCAAATTTTGTCTCAATTTTGCAATTGAGACAAAAAGACACATTTTCTCCTTAATTTTTGTTCCTACTTTGTTACTTTTCTTTAGGATTATGATGCCATGATCAAACTGGTGGAGACTCTGAACAACTTGCCCATGTGTCAGGCAGCAAGGCATCAGAATATCAAGTTTCATTACATCTTTGCTCTGAACAGGTACCCACCTGTTTGTGTACTCTACATAATTAAAGATTTGTAATCACCACCTCTCTGGTTTCAGCTATGTGTTTGGCTGTATTCTTTGCACATGGCTTTTGTTTGTTTTGTTTGCATTCAGCTTTGACTAAGTCAAAGCTGCCAGGCTGCAAATATAATCCCTTTATCCCGTTGTTAGGAGGAATCATCCTGGTGATCGAGCAAAGGCTCTGAAATTAATCTTGCCCATTGTGGAGTCGGGGGACAAAGTGGCATCAGACATCTACTGCCTGTGTGGCCGGATCTACAAAGACATGTTCATGAGCTCGGACTTCACTGACGCATCTAGCAGAGACCAGGCCTGTTATTGGTACATCCAGTTTGTGTGACTTTGGATCTGGCTATATACTGGTGCTTCTCAGAATATTAAAATAAGAATACAAAATTGAACTCGGTTAATATAAAGAATCACTACAAGAGAAAGTAATGTATTTCAAGTGTTTATTTATATAGATTTTGCTAAAAGTAGCTCACAGTTAACAAAAACCCAAAATTCAGTTATTAAGATAATGAGATTATTATATTCAAACTAAAATTTTATATTTTAAGAAAAAAAAGTAATGCTAAGGCCAGCTAAATAACAAAGAGAACTGCTGATTTGACAGTTGTTGAGAAGATTGTTTTTAGCCACCTAAAAAAAACAAAGAAGAGTAGGTCACAAAAGGTCACTGGTAATACTGGATAATGACTGACAGTCAAGAAGGTTCTATTTACAGAGATGAGTGGAAGGAAAACTTGTAGAAAAAAAACAAACCAAAAACAAAAGCACAAACACGTTTTGATAACTAGGGTGTTACTCTTCATACTGCACCACTTAGATACAGCAATTATGTATTGAGTGTCATATTTATTGGTATGATGGGGTTTCTCTAAAAATGCTAGAAAAAAAATATTTTTCTGTAATATTTTACAATTCAAACAAAACAAGTTTGGGGTTTTCATCCATGGATTTTGATGAATCCATCAGAATCAAAACAAAAATAAAACCCTTGAAGTTTCACTCAGTGTGTATCAAATTTGTAATATTTTGAGAATCATGTGTAAGAAATCCATATTAGAAGTAGTTCAATGTTTGAATTATTTAGTGTTTTCCAGTAAAACATGTACTCCCAGTTTGAGTTCATAAAAATATTTCATTCATCCCTAGGTATGGGAAAGCTTTCGAAGCAGAGCCAACCTTCCACTCGGGGCTCAACAATGTGGTCCTTCTGATGGCAGCTGGACATGAATTTGAGACCTCCATTGAGCTGCGCAAAATAGGTGCAAATCTACTCATTCTTAAGATTGTTTTAAGGAATTTCTGAAGTTTTTTTTTTAAATAAAAATATAGTACGATAAATGACCTAAAGTTTCTACATAAAAACATTTAGGTGTTACCATAAGCACGCTGCTCGGCAGAAAGGGCAGTTTGGAGAAGATGACAGAATACTGGGATGTAGGATTCTACCTCGGAGCAAACATCCTCGCTAAAGAGTTCAGGAAAGTCATCGAAGCTTCTGAGAAGCTCTACAGACTCAAGGCTCCTGTTTGGTGGGAATTAAGCAGAAATTCTTGAACTCGTTCTGTTTATTTTTTATTTTTGTTTTGTTTGTTTCTAAAGCAGCGAATATTTCAATTGTAACTCCATGTGGACTAATCATTGTTATGCGTTTCCTTTAGGTATTTGGCATCCATTATGGAGACATACATCCTGTACCGCCAGTTTGCCAAGCCTCCTGAGGTGCGGTCTCCCAAACAGGATACGGTGGACTTCTGGATGGAGCTACTCCTGCAATGCTGTAAACCCACCGTCTCAACAAATCATTGCCCAGTAAGAGAATACAAACACCTCTACACTACACCTAAATAATCAGCAGTGAACACAAGAGAAATGCAGTAAAAATGAAATTCTATAGGGTTAAATATCTTTTCGAAGAGAAAAGTGTGTAAGCTACTTGTAAGTGTTTTTTGTGCTACTGTCAGTAAAAACTTATACTGTTAGCATATTAGCTAATGAAAATCTCATCCACCTCAATAAAAAAAAATCCCTTTATGTCTGAAGCATGAAATTCAAATTTCTTAAAGCACATATGTGTGATTGATTGATAAGTAAAAGGTATGAAAGTAGGAAGGTTTTGTTGTCAAAACTGAATTTGAAGAGTTTAGCCTGGCAGGAGATTGAATCATGCTATAGTTTTAGGTGGAAAACCAAAACCCTTATCAATTTTAAACTGGAATCTTATAAGAAAAGGGCAAAAAATATTAAGAAGTTGAATTATTTATTATTAGCCCATCTAAAGTTTCAATGACCTCACTTGGTGAAAGTAAAGGAAAAGCAAAAAACCTCTAGAGAGAACAAGATGTTGAATGATTTGAATGATTGTCTCATTGAAATCTACATGATTTAAAAACTTTGTTTACAAAAGTGTAGTTAAGTAGCAAAGTTCTCAGTCCTTGACTGAATTTGAATTTGTGCTCCAGGTGCTCATTCTGGAGCCTAGTAAAGTCTTCCAGCCATCTATTGTGAGTGTGAGCAAAGAGGACGAGAGTCGCACTGTTCAACTGAAACACGTCACACCTTTGAAGGTTGGAGCTTCTCCATATGTCCTTTTGTTTGTTCATACGTCAGAATACTATATAGGTTATGCAGTGCTGCTTTTATTACTAAAGTTATTTAGCTGATTAATGTTGGTGTGAATGTTGACATTAGTGCAGTGTATGGGTGTGTGCCTATAGAGCAAATAGATGAGAGAAAATATGACTTTTCTCATGCCACATATTCCACACAGATCTCTTTTTCTTCCATTTTTGCCTTCATGCAATTCAAAACTGATTTGCAACATGTTGCATCAGCCAACCAGCTTATTTTTTTCTCCCAATATTTTCCCTTTTTATAATTGATCCTGCAGAAAGGCTTACACCAGTGGACTTTTCCAGCAACTAAAATCCGAGGAGTGAGGTAAGGAGGAGCGCTGTGCCTCTTAGTTGGATGTGTTGTTGTCAGGGGAACCCATAACATGGAGGTTGTCTGGGGAAACTTTGACTCGCCGTCATATTTCTGTTCCATCAACATGGTTTCAGGCTTTCTTATTTATTTGTTGATTTTCCCCTGTGGCTACTGATCGGTGTCACAGTGCTCTCCAGCGTTATCCTATGCGCTAATTTAGGCCATTTTGAGCTAACACAGCAGTGAGCCGCCGAGCTGGTAATGATTTCATTAGGTTTCAGTGTGATGTGGAGTGATTTCAACTGGAGTTGAACATGACAATACCCAGCCTTCTCCTTTTGCTTGAAACAACAAAATATTAACTTTACCCATTGTCCAAACAGGGATTAGATAGTATCCCAAATGCAGATTATATTAGTGTGTCATAACCTATGCAAAGAATCTTTTTTTATTTATTTGAATTTTACAAGTAAAGAACATATGTTTGTATCTATTTTCCCTAAAGTGCATCAAAGATTGATGAGCGTAGCTGCTTCCTGTATGTGCACTACAACTCTGATGACTTCCAACTTTGTTTTCCATCAGAGATCCACTGCAAAGGGTGAGTAGTTTGTTTTATTTGAGCTAAACAATGACTTGCTTACTGCCAAACTGACTTAACAGGCTGCGCAAATGAACAGAGTCACCGACACAAAACGTTGTAAGGAGATGTCTTGTGTCGCTGAGTTCAGGCAGTGGCCTGAGGAGGCGATTCTGATGAAATCAGTTTGGGTGACTCATGTTTCCTTTGTGCCTCCTTAAAAACACTGATCCTTTCAGTCCTGCTTCAGATGCGTAAGCTCCCGATGAATGTAGGAGCACACATTTTGTTTTAGTTAGAGATAAAAATATTTGTGTCTTCTCAAGAGGCCTTAATACAAAGACGTGTTTGCTAATGCTCATGTTACTTGAGAAGGCTTTGAGTTGAACTGCTTCCAGAAAACTTTGATTGAAACTGATTCTTTTTCTATTGTTATTTTTGGATGAGGAAGGTCTTAAATGCTTTGGGATTTAGTTTTATATGGATTAACTTTTTTTTTTATTTATAAAAATGCTACTAAATTGCAAAATGGTGATTTGGTGTTTTTTATTTAAAAACTTGTTTTGTATGCATATTATTGTAACAATGATTAAATAGAAGCCAAAGCCTGAAACTTCCCTTTATATTAGTAAGCACTCCTTCCTAGAAGTGTAAAGTAGACAGCAGGAAGTCAACTGCTCTCGGCTAGAAGTTGAAGCTTGTTAAAAAAGACAGGATCTTCAACATTAGCATGTCCAATAGAATATTGCTGCTTTTATAATACAGCGTGAGGAAATGCTAGCATAATGTTGATTTCAAGCTGTTTTGACAGATCTCTCAAATAAAATCTAAAACCTCAACAAGAACAAATATTTGAAGGTGCTTTATGGATATTTATTTCCATTTGTTTATTCATCTCCATAGTTTTTTTAGTAATGCACTTGGACTCCTTGGCCTTTCTCACTAGTTGTTGTCCAGCTAACAAACTGTAATGTATTTTATTGGATTTATATATGATAAACCGATGCAAAGTATTACATGTCTACAAAGTGGAAGAAAAAATTAGCACGGTGTTTAAAAGAGTCTTTAAAAGTGAAAGTGTTTATTCACTCAAAGAAACTGAAATATAAAAAAAAATAAGAGCTATTTTATTAAGATGTCTTTATCTGTTTAATGTTCTCACACTAGTTTCTGCGAGTTGGTGAACTCTTTGCTTCACCAGGCTGAAAACCCCACCCAGGACCCCCAACTTCTAACACAGGGGATACTTGAGGTTAGTCACCGTCTGCACTTCTTTCCTCTGACGCAATGTTCTCTCTATTTTAGGCCTTTCCTGGCAGTGAAACAAGAAAAACAGCAGCAGTTTCCCAAAAAAAACTTACAGTGTGACTTTTCCCAAACATGTTGTGCTTGTGTGCTACAGTTAAAACAAAGATTCTAGTTAAAAACTCTCTTTTTCATTCCATACCTGTGAAATTCCTCACAGTCCTGCTTCTTTTCGGTTCTGTATGTTTCAGTTTATCTATGAGACCGATGACAATGGCAACAGAGTGGTTCTTGGGAAGGGGACGTATGGTGTGGTGTACGCCGGTAGAGACCTCAGCAACCAAGTCCGCATTGCCATTAAAGAGATTCCTGAAAAGGACAGCACGTAGGAGATCTATTTTCTTCTTTATTCACTTGATACATTTAGCATTTTTTTCCGTCAGCTTGTTTTGCTGACACAAAGTGACAATATTTTCAAATGTGTAAGACATTATAATGTTTATTCTGATGCAAATATGAGACAAATAAGTTGAAGTGAATCAAAAACCTTTTAGGACAAAGTTTGATAGAAATTTTGTGCACCTAATCCCTCTAAATGAATATGCTTCCCGACTCCGTGACTAAAACCAATATGTAACATGTGTTGATGCATTTGTGTCACTCAGGTACTCACAGCCGCTCCATGAGGAAATAGCTCTACATAAAAGGCTCAAACACAGGAATATTGTCCAGTATCTCGGCTCCATCAGTCAGGACGGTTTCATCAAAATCTTCATGGAAGAAGTCCCAGGAGGTACAAATTCACAGAAAAAACTTATGATACTCACAAAGCAGCCTCTACACTTATCAGGTCTGGTTAAAATTTGTATAAACTCTTATAATAATAAATTAATCTGATGTTGTGTCAGTGTAATTTATTGAGGGCATCCTTGAAAATAAACCTGGATATGTTAATAAATAAGCCGAATAAATCCTTAATTGGTACCCCTGCTGTCAATGCTGTCACTACAATCTATGTCTCGGAACAGTCTTTTTTTTTTTTTGTATTATTATATTTGACAAAATGAACCAAACAGAGGGAGGAATCTTTGACCAATCCCAATGTCTCCAGCCATTGATCATCTTTTTTGCTCTCTTTCCTTCCGCTCACCCTACAGAAAACCTAAATACTACAGAAAGCTTGTAGGATTTAGTTGTAGGGACAGGGATGGTCATGAAAAAGGTAGATTTTAGTATCTGGTTTACCCTTTTTTTTCATATGGTAATTTTTTAGATCATTATCCCTCTGAAAGACCTTGTATTTGATATTAAATACTAGATTCCAATGTTACTGGAAGAGAAACAAACCCACAGCATCGCAGATCCTCCACCAAAGCCAACACTGAGTATGAGAGACTTTCTCACACTTTCATCCTTGGTTTGATGCCAAACCTACCTGTGGTGTTTGTTGTGGAAACATTCAACTTTAGTCTTATCTGAACAAAACAAACCTGCCAGCTAAAGGTCTAGCTGAGTTAACAAACTCTACATGTTTGTGTTGGCTTCCTGGAATGTGTCCCAAACAACACTGGTTGGAATGTGGATAATAATAAATGTTTTTTATAGACATTTTGCTGCAGTTTGCAACTTTGAGCTGGAGATGTTTTTTGTACCTTCATCCTTCTCATTGTGCAATATGTTAAAACAAATATGGGTCCTTGTTACTTAAAGTTCCACCTGCTTCAGGATATTTATTTATTGCTATATATGATATGAGCAAATTTGTGAAGCCTCATTTATAGTGTTCAACACTCAACTCACACAATTGACACTGATATTAGACACCCTGCGGGCTGCATGGTGGAATAGTGGTTGACACTGTTGTTTTAAAGCAACAGGATTTCTGCATGGAGTTTGCATGTTCTCTCCATGCATGGGTGCATTCTCTCTGGAAAAGTTTTCTCCCACAGTTTTAAAAACATAATTGCTGGATTAATAGGTCCTAGTCCTGTGTTGCTTTGTAATGATGTGACGACTTGTTCAGCGTGTACCCCACCCCTCAGTTGGGTTTCGAAATTGTTTCAGCTTGAGATTATGCTATTAGAATAAGAAGAGTATGGAGCACTCTGTGCCAGACAGTAATATTTAGTCATTGTGGGAAACCATTTACTCTGGAGGAGCAGAAACTTGCTGCTTAGAAATTTCAAGAACAAGCAGAGCAAAGTGCTTGTTCCAACTCTAGCTCTTTTCTTTCTTTGACGTGTTGTGTTTTGATGGATTGGTGCCTGTCAAGGATATAATGTGTTCAAAAGAAGAAATGCACGTGATGAATCAACGTTCAGAGAAAACCTGTTTTAAAGCTATTAGTTGTTCTAAAAATATCCTTCAAGAGGACAACATTTTCAAACAATGACATAACTAAAGACTGAAAGTAAACATCAGACCTGTCTGATTGGACACACAAACAGTTCAAATGTTTAAATTTGTGAGTTTTCAATGGAAGATTTATCCTCTAAAGCAAATAATGAAGGTTTTTATGTTTTGCACTTTTTCAGGAAGTTTATCTTCTCTCTTGCGCTCCAAGTGGGGTCCTCTGAAGGACAATGAAGCTACGATCATTTTCTACACCAAACAGATCTTGGAGGGACTCAAGTACCTTCATGACAACGAGATTGTCCACAGAGACATTAAGGTGAAAAGTTGTTTCCTTTGACTTTAAAATAAAATAATAAATTTAATTTTTTATATTTGTGACTCCAGCTGCTAATGGTTACAAAAAAAAAAAAGCAGCCAAGTATTGTACACTTTCTTTGTTTAATTGATCATTACAAAATCCCACCTAGCCAGACTGGTAAAACTGGTGCAAAATGTAACTATTTCCTCTGGGTTGTAAAACACTGGCAGTTTAATCTAAGACCACTGGATTATTTCAAATTTGCTTTTCCTGATAAGTTATTTCCCCTGTGCTGCAGGGCGACAACGTGCTCATCAACACCTACAGCGGCGTGTTGAAGATCTCTGATTTTGGGACCTCCAAGCGATTAGCAGGGATCAACCCCTGCACTGAAACTTTTACAGGCAAGAATCATGGGATTTGTAGGTTTTCTAGGAACTAGTTAAAGTAGAGAGGTTTAATCACTGGCCTCTTGTTTTTGTTTTTTGTTATTTTAAAGGAACACTTCAGTACATGGCTCCAGAGATTATAGACCAAGGGCCTCGAGGTTATGGGAAGCCTGCTGATATTTGGTCCCTAGGGTGTACTATCATAGAAATGGCAACAGGCAAACCTCCTTTTCATGAGCTGGGAAGTCCTCAGGCAGCCATGTTTAAGGTAAATAACAAACACATGTTTTCGTTGCCGTTTAGCGGTGATAGCGGTGCAGACATTATACACAATATTGAATATTTTCATATTCATTCATTTGTGAATTGGATAAATTAGCTGCTGTCTCACTCTCCTTACTGTATGCTCAACAATGTGATGCTGTTTCACTTGTCCCAGGGAAGGTGCTTTTCCACTTATGTTTTCAAAACACACTTCCTGCTACAACTCACTTACCCTGTAACTTTCAGGTGGAACTTTTCCTTTAGTAAGACTACAGCTAGTTTTCAGCGCCCTCTAGTCATCAGGGTTTTTAAATGAAAACTACACCAGCCAGTCTTAGCTCTTAGCAGGTATGCTGTTTTTTGTGACTTCCAATTATGGTGCAGCATTTCAGTTTTTTGTTTGTTTATTTGTTTCATCTTTATATACCACTTGTTTTTATGTATTGATGTTTTAATTTTTCACTTTTTAGCTTTTAGCTTTTTAGACAATTTCCTTTAGGTTAGAAATGTCTAAATTTATATTATGCCAGCAGACGCACACTAAGTCCAAGTGACGTCAAAGGTTTAAAAAAACGTTTCAATTGGGATAACCGATGAATACTTTTCTTTACTTTTCTTTTATTCTCCATTTTTAAAAAAAAAATTAATTATTTTGAAGCAGTATTCTCATCCTCGATGTCACGGTTTTATCAGCCATAGGCAGAAAAACATCCCAATGAACAGAAATGACCGTGAGTAATTAACCAATATAGTTTGCTTCACATAGTGAACTGCATATTGAACAATAATATCTAACTTATAGAATATTTTGGTACTATCTATTTGCCTGAGGGTTGGATTGTCATCATATTTCAGACTAAATATCAAAGAAAAATATCTTTCAAGGATCTTCTGTCACATGTGCTTGCATTTTGTTTTTTACAGAAATCAGATCAGAATCTGATTTGAGGGATCGTATCAATATGTTGCATTTTAACATGTTAATCTTGAATTTAAATCAAAATAGATCTCTAAAATAAATAATTTTACATCTTCTGAATTTATATCATCTATCCAATTTTAATGTTTTATAAAAATGATTAACTCTGTGACTATCCCATTAAGGTGGGCATGTTTAAAATCCACCCGGCGGTTCCAGAGAACATGTCAAGTGAGGCCAAGGACTTCATCATGAGCTGCTTCGTGCCAGACCCGGATAACAGAGCCACGGCCACAGAGCTGCTGAATGACTGTTTCCTCAAGTCGTCCTCTAGGAAGAGAATTAAACCCCCAAAGGACTCAGACGTGAAAGATTCAAGTAATTCTATTAAGGCTTTATCTGAACCTCACACATTTGTCTTATTTAGGTATGAAAAACAGTTAATTCCCTTAAATGTAACCTTTCTCGGTTTTGCAGCTGATTATTATCGCAGTTTATCAATGCCAGTCTCCATCCTGGTGGAGGACACTGATTCGGACTCGGTTGGCTCGGTTGACCTGGCGTCTTCCCTGGACATGAGGAAGTACTGGTCCCCCCTCAGAGTGACAGAAATCTCAGAGAGTCCGCCCTGCACCAGCGGCTTCCTGTCGTGAGTGAAATTTTGCTGAGCTGATAAAACCAAGTAGTAACCTCAGAGTGGCTCCATCAGTATCGAGCCACTATGAGGTTTTAATTTTAAGTTCAGGCCAAGCTACTTTCTTTTTAACAGAAAAAAAAAAACAGAAATCTTTTTTCTTAAATCCTACAACTGTGTCACAACTGTGTATAACTTTGGAAATAACTACAAACCCCACTTTTTTTTTTCATTTCTCCAAATGTCAACATCGACTTTATTTCCACATCCTGTGATTTTTTTATGATCTTCCAGTGATGTAGTTTTATCTAGCTGACTCATGTCCTTGTTCTGCTATACAGAACACCGTATGACTCTTCGTCAGACATGACCAGTCCAGCCTCAGTGGAAGAGAACGTCGGCCTCTTTATGCTGCGAAAGGACAGTGAGAGGAGAGCGACACTCCACAGAGTCCTCACCGACTACATCAGTTGTGTTGTCACCTATTTACAAGAGTCAATACTGCAGGTGTGTGGAGCAAAATTCAGACAGAAGATTAAAATGTTTACAGATGAAGTTGTTATTAAATGTATGCACATTGACTTTTATTGTGATGTTTATCCTATGCAATGTTTGTTATAATTGTGATGTGGTCAGCCTCTCTATTTTCCATTGTCCAGGTTTTGTAATGTCATTGTGGTTTTCTTCACTTGTTAATAACTGATTTATCAAGTGCCATGGTATATACACAATGTTGTGGTTTTTATGCCCTTCTTTTGGTAAATTAAATCAGTTACATTTCTTTCTGTGAGCTTCTGCTTCAGCAAAACATTGCAAATTAGCTAGTGTCAGAAAAATCTTAGTAAGGCAGTTGAGTTTTCTTATTTGTTCATATTTTAGAATTATTGGGACTAAAGAGTATAAATACTTTCCCCTTTTGCTCCAATGTTTCCCTTCTCCTTTAAAAGTTGGATGAGGGATCATCACTTAGTGAAGACCACATTATCACACTTATCGCCTGCCTCCGTGAAAACATCCGCTCCCCAGACAGAAAGCAGCTCGCCACCGGCCTTCTGGAACTTCGCTCAACTCTGTTAGCAGCAGCAATACCTCTGAACAGCCTGCAGACGGTGCTCTTTAACTTTCAGGATGCAGTAAGTCACTTTTTCTGCTTGTATATGCAACATAAAAGGTAACTTCACAAACTCATACTTCACCATTTGCTGTGGGTGTAGGTGAAAAAAGTGTTGAAGCAACAACAGGTGAAACCCCACTGGATGTTTGCTCTGGACAATCTGCTGAGACAAGCTGTGCAGGATGCCATCACTGTCCTGCTCCCAGGTAGAGGACTATTTCACACTTAATTTCCTTATCTGTGTTTATACAACTGCTACTGCATACACATTTATTCGCAGCTCTGGTGATGATGTTCTTCATCTTTAAAATGACTTGAACTCTTGTCATGCTGAACACTCAAAACGCTTCGAGACTACAAGTCTCATTTTTCCATCTCCACTCACTGTTCACACTCCTGTACATCAATATGCAGGTCAGTTGGCCACCTCGGGGTAATTAGCTCATCATTATGTGATGGGAGGGAGTAAATATCGAACTCACCCCTTTCCATTTGTAAAATGAATTCTCCTGCCTCATAGCCAAAGACACCTAACCGGCAACATGTAGAAAAATTTTACCGCTGTACATTTATTCAGCTGGGTTAAAAAGTTAATGTTAAAAAATAATGCTATAGTTATTTAAATTATTCAGATCTGTATATAAAATAAATGTAACAGGAGCATTTTTTTTTTACCTCAATCTAGGAAATTATAATCAAAAAGCTGTAGCTCTGTTTTTCCCTTGGGTGCAAATGTGATGTGAATGAAGATGATTTTATGCTCTAAAATGCAAAAGACAGAAGAAAAGACATGGAATCTGAGTTGACTTCCATCACTGTCTGTTTTGTGAGTTTCGGGTACTGTCCAAAATACATTTTTATGTGTTTGTAGCAGAAATAATAGAAATGAAGAGATTTGATAACTGGTGGACTTCCAACATAATTCAAGTAACCCCTTCTTTTAGCTACACATGGAGGAAGATATTAAGGAAGTCTCACCAAATATCCTACAGAAAGAGCTTAGGGATCTTAATCAGTCTGCTGGTTGTGAAATGTTATGGAAGAGATTTTATTTTATTTTTTTAAATTAGGATTGCTGTGATTATGCTTTCTACTAGACAAATTTAGCAGTGCTATGATGCTCAGATCATGTCCTATTGGTTTACTGGGTATCAGTTTATGTGTCACAAACATCCTCTGCACGCAGTGATGCACATTAAGGAGCATTTAATGCTTTCACCTGATGTATTTCCTTTCATGTGCGTTCACTTTTGATCTCCTCGCCTCTTAGAGCTGAAACTCCATCTGCAGTTGTCGTTTGAGACAGAGGACAGCATCCCCGAGGAGCAGTCTGTTGACCCAGACACTCCTGTAGTTCTTGGCCCTTACCAGCCGATGGCGCCAATAGACAATCAGCAGGCAGAAACCGGGAATGAGAATGTAACAGCAGCCAGGCTCGGCCCCCCAGATGAGATCTCATTCGACAGGAACTGTACACTCAGCGAGAAACTGAAAGACATGAAAGTAGAGACCAGGAGGTATCCTTAAGCTCTCTCCACTTTTATTATCGAAACAAATATAATAAGAGAGAATTGTAATACAGTAGAGCAACAGTGAAAAACCCTTCCAGGTTTTCCAATTTGGCAGAGGGGAACATGAAAAAACGTTGCATGTTTTTAGTGCTGATGGCTTTTTGTGTCATGTGTCAGACTGCTGAATGAGCTGAGTGAGAAGGAGAGAGAGTACCAGGAGCTGCTGAGGGGCTCGGTCCTGAAGAAACAGGAGCAGATAGATGAGCTGAGGAAAGCGTTCATCATCGAAGGTAAAACTTGCTATAACTACAGAGACCAATGCATTCAAATTGATACTTGTAATGTAACCCTTGTAAGTAGAAGATGAATTTATTATAAAGCTGTTTTGCAAGTTGAAATCGAATTAGCTTTAAAATATCAACCCCTGGAGGAGCTTTGGACTAGTTTTTTAAGTGGGTAACTGCCTTACCCATTTGAGTTTCTCTGTCACACACAAACAAAAGTTAACTGATAGTAAGCATGTCATGATAACACATTTTGTCCAGAAATTATTACAGAAAGCAATATTGAGACCACTGTTGACTAATGGCATTAAAAAACATAATAATGCAAGTCTATTAACTCATTTCTAAAGAATATTTATCACAGGATCTGGAAAACATTTTAAATATCAAAAAAAGTAAGCAAACAAACAATAAATAAAATGGATTATGAAGCCTCTGTAAACACACATTCAGTGAGGCCCTTCAAAATGTATTTACTCATTAGGTTCAGAAAGGAAAAAAAGGCAAAAGGGCCAGTTGGGACTTTTTTTTGAAAAAAGAAAAGAGTAAAACTCGATACTCTGTACTGGATGTCAAATGTTTACAGCCTTTTTTAAAATTTATTTATTTATTTTGTGAATACTGTCTTTTCAATGACATCAGAGGGCAAGCCCCTTTGGTCATCATGAGTGTTGCTTCACTGCTGCAGTCTCTACCACGCCTTTGTTTCAGGCATGTGGCTGCCTGGACTGGTTTCCCTCTGAGGCGTGGGCCGCAGATCAGCAGCTTATATGCCCAAACGTGTTTTGGAAGTTTGACAAATGATTATACAGTCTCGTTGCAGAGGCTAAAATGTTATATTTAGGTGGAAGATTACACCTTAATACTCCATGAATCTAGTCTGTGACAGTTGTATTGATAATCTAACCGTGGTGCAATCTCTACCATACAGGAAGCGATTTGAATTCAACTGAACGCTCTAATGCAGAGACTAAAAGTTTGGTTTGCTGGCTCCAATCTGTCCCTGTGGATCAAGACACCATCAATAAAGTAAATCAAGTCAGGGTTTTACTTTTGGGGTGTAGTCCTAAGGCATGTCAGGATTACTCATCTGCTCTCCGTTAATCTCATCTATCTGCTCTCGTGTTTTAGCTGCTTGCTCATGAGTTCACCTTGGACTGTCTCCTTCACATGGCCTCCAGAGATGACTTGGTGTACTGTGGATTAAGGTAAACGGTCTCTGCACATCATCCTCACACAATCTGTCCAGGCAGAAACAGGCACACATCATGCATTATTCACAATAACAGTTTTTGTATAATAGATGCCCTGGGCGAGCGCATACTTCTGGTGCCCACAAACAAACACACAACCACACACGCACGACTAAGCATGTTCTGGATTTTTTTTTTTTTTTGTCTGACTTCTCCATATCATTAGGAACTAAAACCTACTGAACTCATAATCATTGGAAAAATTGGTAGAAACAAATGGACAGGCATATTGGTTATTTGCTTAAATTAGGATTTCAATATATTTTTTTAGAAAATTGTAAACATGTTTTTTGTTAGACAGGTTCATTATGATAATTTTTCAAAATTTGACCAATGCATGCTTTACTATTCTCATGCTTGCCTCAGTGTAAGGTGTTCTTAATGCTAACAAGTTTTTCTTCTTTGTGTTTTCAGGGACAGAAAACTAAAGATGTGTTTTGAAAATAATCCTTGTTCAGTGTAGATTGAGACAGTCTGGCCGGTCAAAATAAGTAAAACCTAGAGCCAGAGATGATCAAATGCAATTTAGTCTCCTTAAAACATTAAACTTTATTTATTGACCTTTATTTAACTAAGAAAAAGCCCATTGAAAATAAGGATGACCTGGTATTTAAGCCAGTGTCATCATCCATGATGCTGGTATAGTTGCATTATTTAACAGCAATTGCATTATGTCCACAAAATGTAATTTTAAAAAATTTGTTTTTTGTTGTTGTTTTGTTTTGTTCTTTTGTGCTGGTACCCTCTCTAGGCTGTGCTGCCCTGCTCAGCCATAGTGTCATACCATAAGTGAATATTTAGTTTGTCTGGATCTGTTCTAATTTGTCCTACGTTGCTGTTTCAGGGGTGCAATGTTGTGTCGACTCTGGAAGGCCATCAAGTGTCGAAGGAAGACTCCTCTGAACATGAGCATCAAGGACAGTGAGGACACTTTGCTTTAATTGCTGCTGATGTTAAGCATCAAAGGACAGTTTTCCTGACAGGCTGGGCCTGTGTGACCAGGAGTTACAAGCTGCTGATGTAAACAGATTTCAGTTACTGTGAATTTATCTTGTAAATACACTGATAATGTGTCTTTGTGCTTGTCTGTAGAATCTAATGTTCTTTTATGTTTTATACATTCTCTCAGGGCTTTGGTGTATGGAATTTATTTTGAAGAAAATGCAGCCTAGAGGAGCATTAATGTGTAGGGAAACAGTCAAACTTATTTTTTAACTTTTTCAGACATATTTTACTGTTTTACGGAAACTAGTTAAGTTATTAACACTTTCAGGACAAACACTCTTTATTTGTATTGAACAGGATATAAAAATAAAATTGGAAAATAAACAGGAGCATCTCTTACTGTTTTCTCTGCATGCAGATGTTGATTGGTTGTTTTCTGTGAGTGATGTTGGATGGAAGAACTGAAACGGTGAACAGTCATGGCATTCCACGTGTGTGTCCTCATCTGTTTTCTAATGTTGACATCTCCTTAGAAACAGCCACATGAACTTTGTGTTACAGTTGAAACCAATGTGTAGTCATATGCATGTTATTTCCTGTGTGCAGTAGGTCTTTCTGTTTCAACATCACTGGTAAATGCATACATTGTACAACAATACAGACGTTTATAGGTTTTATATATTTGTCATTAATAACTCTGTGTAGAATATAATCAGAACATTTGGTGTTTTAGGGCTCTTAAAACTGTAAAAAGACATTTTGTGCAATAAGGATGTTTTGTTCCCCAGTCTATCTTCACTGACAAGTGACCTCAGACACCTTAAACTGATAAGCTAATGTTTGGCCACATGTATGTAGGCTCCAGTCTTTGTCCATAGGGAGATGACTTCATTGAGGATGTGGGTTTGGGGTTCGCTTGTGTGAACAATGTCCTACACTGGCATCCAAAACCTTGGAATGTTTTTATGAAAGTATAGTTTCTGCATCATTGGGAGAACAGAGCAACATATTTACAAAACCTCTTGGATGCAAAAGACCAGTTTGAGAATTTTAGTAGTTGATGGCTGCTGGAAACCTTTGTATAACCAAAAGGTTTTTCTCTCCAAAACTGAAGAATAAATAAAACAAAGCATCTGATTTATTACATGATGCTTCCTTGTATTTCAAAAAAGAGCTTTGGTGACTGCCATCTATGTACTATGTTCCTTTTCTAGAAACAGACACAATGTAATTTTATTTTTACATAAATATAATGGAATGGCTGATTCAACCATGGGGAAGACTTCAGACTTTGCATTCCTCCAACAGACAATCTTTCACGCCCTCTGCATGGAGGGCAAACCACAAAAGGCTATTGCTGAATGTTCACAATGTGCTGCATCCAAGATGATTAATGAAAAAATGAGTGGAATAAAATGTGTTGTAGAAAAAAAGGACATTCTGAAGCAAAGTTGAGGGAGGTTAACATAACTTAGATCACAAAAGAAAAAAAATTATAATGTTGCTTCTCCAAAACACTAAGAACAAAAAAACTATATATAACAAGAAACTATAACATCTGACATGTCATAGATTAGTATAGATGGCTAGACAAACGCATGGATATATTGCATAGTTATAGATTTTAAATACATTTGTGAGAAAATAGGATAACACTTTATTTGACAGGGTGTGCATAAGATTGACATGACACTGTCATGAATATGAAGGAATCTTTATGAATTATCATGAAGTGTCATTCTGTAGGTAATCAGACTTTTAATGCAAAGTTGCATGGAAAAATGTCCATTAAAAGTGCCATCTTTACATTAAATTGTCATTATTTACAAAGTTATGCAAAGTTTGGACTTTTAAAGCAACTTTGCATTAAAAGTGTCATTATTTACCAAATGACACTTTGTGACAACAGTTAGACATTCATAAAGACTCTTTCATGCTCATGACAGATTTTGTCATGTACATGACTGTCATGTCAGTCTTATGCACACCCCGTTAAATAAAGTGTTACCGAAAATAGATTAAAGTATTTTGTCATAGTAGAATAACAAATTCTGCATCTGACCAGTTATACATTGCTCTTTTAATGCTTGTCTCCGTCTAAGGTGGTCTTCGTGCTAAGAAAAGTGTATTGTTTCTGTTTCAAGGTTTCAATTATTTTTTCTCTTGTTTTTTGGAGAATAATTCCCTCTGACCAGCTATGTGCAGCTTTGAAGAGCACATATTATCAAATACAGTCCAGACTCCTAAAAACATTAAATTAAGCCTTTAATTCAGACCTAAATCACAAGATGGGAGTCAGAGACCAACTTCAATGTCACCAGTCATTTTTTGTTTATTGAAATGTAATCTGGTAGCATTTGGTGGGAGAAACAGGACTCTACTCCAAACTCCCTGCAGATGACGGTGCTTATTACACTGTCTCATGGGTGAGTGACTCCAGTCCTGGAGGGCTGCTGCTCTGCTTGTTTTAGATGGCTCCCTGCATGAAAACACCTGATTTGAATGAATTGGTCATTAGCATGTTATTGCAAAAGTTGGTAGGAAGCCAAAAAGACTATTCTGCCATTTAACTAAGATTATGTGGGGCAAGGACACATCGAAGACAGAAATTGCTCACCCTATGGAGAAAGCTTATTCCAGCTAATTTTATCTGTCAACTGAGCTACACACTGGACCAATACATGAGGGTGAAAACAGATGAAGGAGTAACTGGAGAGCTCTTCGTTTGTACACATACTCAAGAGTTTGAAATACTTAAGATAGGTTGGGGGGGACATATGACAAGAGTAATGTTATACCGATCCAAATAAATCAAATTAATTAGACATTATATTATCATGCAGGATTCCTTATGTGATCGTAGGCCTTTAATAGTATAAAATGGCTGTTTTCCCTTCTGAGGCTAGTCATGCTTTGCTGATTTATTTGCAAAACATCTAAAATCCCATCTCACCTTCACCTTGAAGCACAGCTTTAATTCTCACATTTAGTAGTTTATGTTCCTGAACGAATCAGGAGGTGTCGCCATAAATCATGTCAGACATCATGCCCCTTGTGTCCTTGGAGGGTGTCGGGGAAAAAATAATAATACTTAGATGCTGCCATCCAAATTCAGTTTGGAATCATCAACTCCACTCACTGCAGTGGCTTCTTATCTGCATTTATGTTTGATAAGAAAAATGGAAGATGAACAAGCATAAGTTCTTGCTGCCTATGGCTCAAAGCAGCATAAAACACGCTCTGTTGTCAGATTTCTACATGTTGAAATTAGAATTAATTATTTTGTCTGTAGGGTCTTTTTTGGGAGAGGTTTCTATGGGGTAGGGTGACTAAATTAGCTGCTGATGCTTGTCTACAAAAATAACTGAGTCACTGAGCCTACTGCAGTAATGCTGGAAAGAGCTGTCAACTCATATTTGTTTCTTGTTATAAGTGTATTAGTTTAATCTAATATGTATACATTATGCATTTTCTAGTCCCACAGTTGTTCTTAGAAAAGGAAGTCCCTATGCTTATGAACAAAATGGTAACACATTTGGTTGAATCAAACCTGAATTATAATGTCTACTTGAATGCTGTCCCATTTTCAACAATTTACTAAGTCATAGTTACATCACAAGTCGCCAGTTACACGTTTCCTAAATAACAGCCGGAGCCCAGCACAGAGTGCAATAAAACTCCTGTATATGCCAACAGTCTGTTTGATCTCCAGGTACTACTCTTAAACAACTTCCTCTCCTCTCTAGACATTACAAATCACCATAAAATAAAGATTAAGCGGGGGACTCACTGCTTTTGTCTTGCATGACCTTTGAGTTAAAGACAAGGCTTTAACTCAAAAGCTTGTCTTTGAGTTAAAGCCTTGTAAGCTAGTTTACTTACCTTTTCATTTGGTCTGAAGTATAACATTTCAGTCCAGAAAGAGAGAATCCTTTTTATTTATCTATAGATTAATGATATGGTACTCCAGTACTGGTACTCCAATATAGACATGATTAAAGTAACGATGTTAAGTTGAGTTAGTACAGCTATTAATGTTTTCCTCTGTGTATTTATTTACACGTATCAGTTCTTCAAAATCCTAAATGAATTAGGATTATAAATTGTAATTCATTCAAAATTTCTTATGACTTGTAAACGAATAATGTTTGAAGCAAATTTTAATGCCTATTCAAAAACATTTCACAGACATAATAATTTTGACCATAGTTCAGTGTAACTCTGAGAATTTATGTGTTTGTGGGAGTCCCCTGGTGGTTTGGGGTCCCTCTGCAGCACTTTAGTTTGCCTACGCCTTGGGGCCAGCACTGCAGGAGTTCAGACGTTACCTTCCAGAGGTAACAATTGTAACCTGAAAGACAGACATTCCTGCCATTCATTTTCTTTTACAGAAACATAAACGAAAGCAATATGATCACATGACATGTTATCAGTGCAATTGTTGTTACAGAACTAGTTGCTGCTAATAGCTACTTTCAATACATCAATGTATTGGAAGTAGATCTGTATCTAAAGACAATGTTTGAAATACTTTTTAAATTATTTTATGTGTGAATTATTTTCATGTTCTCATGTTTCTTTGAGGTTAAGTTGTGTAGTGCTGTTTGGATTTCACAGGAGAGTTTATAAGTTATCTTTATTGCTTTTGGGGATCCAAGGAATTCTTTTACAAGCAATAAACTGAAAGGCAATTGTTTTATTTGTCTTTCAGTAGTTTTGCATTTGGCTTGCAAAACTATATCTTGTGAGCAGACACTATTTCCTTTAACATTACTAACGAAATTGTGTCGCTTAAAGAAATAGCGTAACTGCTGTCTACCTTTCATGTTATACGACTATTCCAGTGGGACAGAACTTCTCCAGTTCTACGTAGAATTATGTAATCTATGATCTTGAATTAAAAAATAATCCCGTGTACAGTTTTGTCTGTATATTACCATGTTTATGTGTTACAAAGCGACTGGTTTTTGACCCGAAAGCCTTTTTAGCTGTAATCTCTGTTGTTGTGAAGCCACTCATCGGTCATGTGCCACAAAATCAATGATTTCTGCAGCAGAGAAATCAACCTTTAGACCTCACCAGACATGATTAAGAAAACGAATACATATATGTTCTTTTAAGAGTCTATGTCTTCAATTAGCCACCAGGCAGACATTACAGAAAATACAAAGTTGTGCACACACACTCAGTCCTAATTACAGTTTAGATTAAGAAATTAATATGAATATTTTTGGACTGTGAGTGGAAGCTGGAGTACATAGAGATAGCCCATATATGGACTGGGAGAAAATGAGAAAGGAACCAAGACTAGAAATCAAACCAATTCATGCAGCATTGGTTAAATTTAACCTAATGAAACTAGTTTCATCAGTTCTCTATCTTTGACATT